TTTCCTCCTCCTCTGATGCTGCTTGGCCTGCTGTGTTCATCCAGCTCTACACCTTGTTATCTCAGATTCTCCAGCATCGGCAGTTCCTACTATCTATGAAGTTGGTGTTGTTTATTCTCAGCCACAACCAGTTTTCCCAGCACTTTCTGATATTATTTCAAATTTCTGGCATCCACGATATTTGCTTTTAGTTTAGAATTTGGTTGGGCTTAGGTTTTTAAAGGGTGGAAAAGATCAGGCTGGTCTGGAAAGTATTGAAATAATCAAGTCCAGTATTAACAAGAGCAGGCACGAGGACATCGGCAGCCGATGAACTGAAGTAGGGACCGAATTGGGCCATGTTATGGAGATGGGAGTAGTTACTCTTGGCAATAGCGAGCAAGCATGTTTTGTTGCTGATCCTCTAATCATTTGTGACACTGACATTACCATAACAGTCTCATTCAGCCTGAGGCTGTTGCCAGGGAGAGGGAAAGAGTTCAATGGCTAGGAAATGGCATTTGTGATGGGGGACTGAAAGCAATGGCTTTGATTTTTGCCAATATTTAGTAGGAGGAAATCTCTGTTCATTCAGTACTGGATGTCAGATGAGAAGTGTGATAATTTGGCACAGTGGATAGATTCAGTGATGTCCTGATATGGGAACACTGGCTATCTTCAGTCCGAATTATAACCTGGCTATTTCAATATTTACCACTGAGGTGTAGCAACTCCACCGCCTACTGGGATTGAGAGAACAGAAAGCCACCTGATCTCAAGTATGCACTGAAACTGAATGTTTCTCATTCATTTCCAAGAGGAGAGTGGTACTGGGTTGGGAATCCCTTTGTCCTGGCTTCCATTTGATGACTTCAGTCTCTAGAAATTCTATCCATGGCAGTGTTGTGGACCATAACTTTGAAAGCTACATCGTGTTTGCTGTCAGTTTTTGGGTGTCTAATGTCCTATATGTGCGATTGTTCATTCCAATGTGTTTTGGCACTTGTTATATTTGTTTTGTGCAAAACATACTTGACAAAAGATGAACAGGATAGTTAATGCGGACTGAAGATCATGTAATATGCCAATGTTTTATTTTCTACTATGTGTGTATTCCCAACATATCCCGAAGGCACATTGTTTTGGGATCTATAATAAAGATATGACACGAGAGATTGCTTTCTGAAAATGCATTTAATGCTGTGGGATATACAAATTGTGTGTTTGACTGAAATGGTTAATTTCTTTTTAAACTTGGTTATTGTTTAGAGCTTGAAAAGGAGCGAACTCGCAGTATTGGAAAGGCAGCACTTGGAGGACCCTTTACACTCATCGATCATACGGGACAGCTCAAGACGAACAAAGACTACCTTGGACAGTGGGTTTTAATTTATTTTGGGTTCACACACTGTCCAGACATCTGTCCTGAGGAACTGGAGAAAATGGTCGCTGTTGTGGATGAAATAGGTAAATGTTTCAGCAAAGGTGGCAGCACACATTGATCAAAAATATAGACCAGAGAGCAAACAAAAGCTTTGCTGTTCATGCTGATATCACTTTCCAGTGCATCACTTGGGTGTGGAACATATTTAAAATATCTTTTGTCTGTGAGCTAACATTAAAATGCCATATTTCCCCAGTTTATATTAATAGTTCATGGTATAATTTCCAGAAGTTCATGCAGAATGATGACTCGTGTCTTGCAGTGCACGGATCTTCATAACGTTTTGTTCGAAGGCCACATTTTGTGTTTGGGGATTTGGCAGCTCAGGTTTAGAGAAACATGGAAAATCTATTCTCCTGCCAGTGATAGAGAAGGGAGAGTCAAGCCTCAAGTCACAGCCAAATACTGAGTACTTCCTGAGGAAAGTCATTTTTTTTTTGTGTCCTTGTTCTTTTGTGGACCTCCATCTATAATATTGAATACTACATCCCCAAGTAGCTGGTGTTTGCTTTTGATTTGTATTATGTTGTGGAGATTAATATAATTTAACTCCGAAGACATATGAGTTTCCAGGGGGAGATAGTGTCATAAAGGTAATGTCACTGGACTAGCTGCCCAGAATCACAGACTAATAATATTTTAGGGACCTGGGTTTGAATCACAGCTTTGGCAAATGGTGAAATTTGAATTCAGTAAAAAATCTGGAATAAAGAGCTGGCCTCATTGCGATCATATACTCATTATTAATTGTCATAAAAACCCATCTGGTTCACTAATGTCCTTTAGTCTGTTATCCTTACCTGGTCTGGTCTATATGTGACTCCGGACTGAATGTGAATAAATAATTTTAAGATGAAATTTATGAATATCCTGATTAAATCATATTATCCTTATCTTGATTGATGTGAGGACCCGCATTCTGTTATTATATTTATATTATAGTAACTCTATTGTTGAGCATCAGGCAACATGAATAGTTGTTGCAGCTTTCTCCCCCATATTGCAGTGTTGACAGTTGGATATTCATTATGATAAGGGAATTTGGGTTCCTGTAGTAATATGTATTTTTACATACATGAGGTCTGGAGCTATGAATGCTACTGATAGTAGAGTCTCAAACTTTCTTTCCATCACATGAGGATAGTGATGAAGCCATTTGATATGCTTGCCTTTATTGGTACAAGCATTGAGTATATGAGTTGGGAGGTTACGTTGCAGCTCAACAGGACATTGATTAGGCTACTATTGGAATACTGCGTGCAATTCTGGTCTCCCTGCTACAGGAAGGTTGTTGTGAAACTTGAAAGGGTCCAGAAATTATTTACAAGGATGTTGCCAGGGTTGGAGGGTTTGACCTATCAGGAGACGCTGAACAGACTGGGGCTATTTTCCATGGAGTGTCGGAGGCTGAGGTTTTCTAAACCTTATAGAGGTTTAGAAAATCATGAGGGGCATGGATAGGGTAAATAGACAAGGTCTTTTCCCCGGGGCGGGGGAGTCCAAAACTAGAGAGCATAGGTTTAAGGTGAGAGGGGAAAGATTTAAAAGGGATTTAAGGGGCAACTTTTTCGCACAGAGGGTGTAGTGCATGTATGGAATGAGCTGCCAGAGGAAGTGGTGGAGGCTGGTACAATTACAACATTTAAAAGGCATCTGGATGGGTATATAAATCGGAAGGGTTTGGAGGGATATGGGCCAAATGCTGGCAAATGGGACTAGATTGATTTAGTATCTGGTTGGCATGGACAAGTTGGACCGAAGAGTCTGTTTCTGTTCTGTATATCTCTATGGCTCTATGACTAGTAATATAACCTGCTCTTACTGCCTGCCATTGCTGTATGTTGGAGGGATTTACAGGTTGATACACAACCTGTTAGCTGCATTATAAACACACCTCCCTTGGCCATCAAGTCCTGGGGTGGGACTTGAGCCAGGTTCTTCTGGCCAGAAGTAGGGACACTATCCACAGTGGCCAAGACCTCTTGGGGTTTCAAGGTATCACAGCTTTTGATTGGGAGGTCGAGTTCAGTGCCACGTAATTTGTCTTTCGTGACCAGGTATTGAAGCACTACAGGTATTGAAGTTGTTTAGAGGGTGTCCAGAAATATGGTTTATGTGTTTCCTATCACCTGTAAGTTATTTTTTAAAACATTTGTTGTGTACCTATTTAGTTGGCTTTTAATTGATTACACAGAGGAGGCCTAGTGTTTCCTTATAGGGTACTTTAGTAAAGGCATACTTTATATAGCCATATCACTAACCTCTGTTAGTCACTCGCTAGTTTCAGGCTGTTTATTAACAGAAGCCAATCTTATTAAGCCATGTGAGAACCAAAACAATGTATCCTCAAAAGTGACTTTTCTATCCAGTCTGAATAGTTATAAGTATAAAAGAACACTTTGCTTTATAATAAGCAATCAACTATTTGGGTTTCCTTGTGTTTTGTATAAATAACCACAAGGTGCCTTTCGTTTAGCTATTATTAAAAAATCTTACAATCAAATACTGAAATAATTTTTTAAACCTTACTGTATGTAACAACCGAACTAAAACCCCTCAAATAAGCAAGTTAAGTCTTACAACCCAACTTGCCTTTGCCCAATTAATGGTAGAATTTAGTTACAATTCAAACCGACAGCATCTGTCTCTGGATATGTCCTTGGTTCAATTCTTATACAGTGTTGTTTTCCGGAGTGCTACTGCTGCTGAAGAATCCTGGAGTTGAAATCTTATAGGACCTTTATGTGTTGTTAAGCTCAAGGTGAGACATTATTTATAGCACTTCCAAAGTCACCAAGTCTGTTGCTTGCTTTCTTAACAACAGTGAAAGCCAGCTGCACTCAATGTAGCTTTGGTGTTCCTTGTTACATTTGGTGTAAGCTGTATGTTCGAAACACAGCCTGTCCTA